TGAGTGAATGAATCGGCCATAAATCTTCTGTGACTCTGAAGAAGATAACTGCAGTCTAAGAAGATAACACCGGTGAGGTCAGCTGGTTGATTTTAGGCTTTAAAACTACAAAAACACAAACAAAGCGGGAGCCAGATGGATTTCTTTTGGTTGAATTTATAAGGGACGACCCATCTGTCTTCAGATTTAATCGTGTACGTTAATTTATTGAATATAATTTCAGTCACTAATTTCATGTTAATGTGATGCTCAAGAAGTGCCTTCAGGTCTCACGCTGTCTGATAACGCGTCTGTCTTGACAGTTAGTCATTTAATATATTTTAACACCCAACACACTCTCCAATGCTTATTTCTAATGTGACAGCTGCACATTTGAACTATTAAACATTAAACTTCATACATTTAAAGTGCATTGATATCTAACGCTGTCCCATGATAAAGAATACATAGAAAAAAAAGTGTGTTTTGGCCTAATTAACATACAACCTACATATCACATATTTATATATGATGATGTAGTTTTTGGAGTTAATTTGTGGAACCTGGAGTGGATGTAAATTTAAAAAGTTCTTGTGTCTGTTTTGTATTTATAAAGTCTTGAGACCCTGAAAATATTAATAGCATGAAGATAAAATGTGCATTGGCTTTATTAAATATATTTCTAAATACTTTATTAAAAAGTTATTGTGCAGAATTGAAAAATAAAATCATCCTATGGTGAGCAGGTCACTTGGAAGCTGATTAATTTTTCATAGCGTGACCTTTAACTTTCTTCGTCACATTGATCCAGATTTGATGAACTCTCTCGCCGCCATTTTGGAAGCTGTCGGCGCTTCCGCGTGAGGCCGGAAGTGGCTGAAGAGAGAAAACGGAGCAATCGAGCGGAGCGGCTGAAGCAGGCGAGCCAGGGCCACCATCACTCCGCTCTACTCGTCTGGACTACCCGGGCTAACTTTAGCTACATGTGCTGAGGTCGAGGGGGAAACTGATCTCACCCGCAACCATGCCGACAGTTACTTTACCGCCGAAGGAGAACGCTCTGTTCAAGAGGATTCTGGTGAGTGCTTTGTCGGGGAGCTGCGCGGCAGCCGCTGCCGACTTTGGAGCTCCATTCGGCGGCTCTGCTGGCTGTCAGTGCGGCTCCCCCCGGCTGTTAGCATTAGCATTAGCAAAAAATGGCATCATTGAATGGGTTAGCTAGCCCGGCCCTGATGCGCGCTGTCACTGTGATGTAGAGCCGAAGCGGTTCCCCCCGACTCTGTTGTTATTCTTCACCACATTTTAAAGGCAATTAAAAACGTAAATATTGCTAGAAGACGCTGACGCTGATTTAAAGAGCCAGAGTTAGCTCGCTGGCTGCGACAGGCCGCGCCGCTTGTCAAACACAACAAACAGCAAGTTAACGCTAGCTTCCACGCTAGCTAACTCCTTAGCTAATGTAGTAGCAGTGTGTGCCGTTATGCTAGCTCAATTAACGTCTCAAGTTACTCGCATAAACGTTGTGGCATTTGTTTAGTTGTTAGCGGGATGCTAAGCAGGTGTCTGCGGTGTGTTTATTGTCAGAGCGGGGCCATGCTAACCTGCATGCTGCCTGTTAGACGTTACTTAATCGGCTAGCGCTAGCCGACTTGTTATCTTGGTTTATCAGAAAGGTAAATGTCATTCCCAATCTGTGCATGCGGGACCCGGAGCCGCGCACGTTTGTTGTGCCGGACTGGAGGTTAGATTAGCTGAAGGTAGTTTTGTGTGTGCATGCAAACGAAGGGGAAGCAAAGGGAGGACCGGTGTGTCTGTGTCAGCAAATCTGTAGCTGCCTCAGGCCTGCGGTGCTCTGGAGCCAGCTAACCGCTCATCCATCCATCCATCCCTCTCCTCCACGCTGGAGCCCCTCTGCTCTTTATTTACTACTGCACCTAGTTTTATGTGGGTCGAAGGTGTAGGGAAACAGGAGTGGATGAAGTCTCGACATATTTTTCGGGCTGTTACAGGAGCTGAGCTCACTGTGGTTGGTTTGACTGGTCCTCTCTGCCGTTCACGTGCTTTGTGGGGATTGTTAAACACCCCGCAAGAACTTCTAGTGGCAGCACACTTTCCAGGAACTGCGTGGAGTTGCGGGCAGTGGCCACCTCACCGCCGGCTCACACAAACAACATTGTTTTGCGAGGCCGGGGCTCCGCTGGGACTGAGTGGATGTTTGTGTGAACGCTGGCAGAGCTTTTGGCACTCAGTGGCTCTGACTGTGAACACAGACCGGTGACCTGCACCTGATCTTGAACAGTTGTTGAAAAGCTTGTGTTTGCTGCATATCTCAGAGGGGGTATTGTTTTACTTGAACTGCTGCTTGGCTCTGCGTCTGCTCAAGCAAGTGCACCCAGTTTTCTGTAGAAGTTCAGACAAAGCGCTGAAATAATGGCACATTTCTTGCGGAAGTCATTGCAGGATTTGTGCAAAAAGTAATTATATATGTAAAGGAACATCCAACTCCACTAACTATGTTGTATACCACACTGTTTTCTACTTTTTTCAAAATGCGGTGCTGCGTTGTGAACAGTCTTGTCTTCATTTTGTGCAGAAAGCATTCCAGCTAAACTTGATTTAAACACTTTATAATGAAGCAAGGTCTCGTTTCTAGTTCAGAGAAACCTTCAAATGATTTGCTCGTTGTCATCTGAATGAGAGAACCCAGGGTAATATCACCGTTATGATTCCCTCTGCAGTGAGAATGTGACACCAGATTTGAGACAGTTTTCTCTCTGGCTGTAGTTGGGAGCGAGCCACACCCCTCTTTCTTTTTTTGTTGCTTCCCCAGGGTGGATTTCCAAATGCATTATTGGAAGTTGGCAGTTCTCCAACTTGTGAATGACAGCAGAGGTGGGCGAGTTTCCATTTTGTTGTTTCGGGGTGCTTACAGTCACTTTTGCTTACCTCAAGGTGGACTTTGCGCCATTAATCTCAATTAAATGGCGATTTCATCAGGACTTCAGTGCCGTGTTGTTGTTGCATGAAAGATTTTCTGCTCCATTTCTGGGGCAATGCACTGCAACAAATTTAATTTCTTTCTCAGCTGCATCAACAAACGATTAAACTGCTGCATGCAGGTGGATAAAGTGAACTCTGGTTAGTGAACAAACACACATGCATGTATTTTAGAGTACGAGCTGTGCAGCAGCTGTAACGTGCACTGCTCAGGAGTGTGCACGGCTGTGTCTTGGAATGTAAGAACCCCTCAGACTAACGTATGTAAATCTTTAAACTGAGGTATTCATTGATATGAGCAGATATCTGCAGCAACACGTCCACACCTCAGGGGAGCTCCTTCTGTCTTTAGCTTATTGCTCAACTTGCTGTACGACGTGTTCAGGAGAGTTTCACTTTTGAAGATCAGGGTTTTCCAGATTGTTCAGGGTAGCTTTTGGTGTGTTGCGCAAATAAATTCGTCATTTTCTGTGTCAGCTCAGATGTATATGTTGTGGCTTATTTACCTTAAACCCAGTTAAATCCAGCAGGATGAAGTTCACACTCGCCTGAACGCTGCCTTCCCTCCTCTGTGCTCTGAATGTGGCATCAGCGCTTTGCAACAAGCTTTGAAATGTTTCCTCCAAACCTACCGCTGGCACTCGGAGCTGCTTGCAGCGAGCCCTGCAGCCCGGAGCCAGCGCTCTGACAGGTTCTCTGTGTAACTCAGGGGGCCGAGTTATTTTGGTTGAGGTGGAGAACATGCTGGATAAGCACAGCTGATGGTGTTAATGTTGCTAAATTTACATTAAATGCACAACACGGCGTGTGTGTGTACTAACGCCTGTATGTTTACTTGAGGCGTGTGTGACCTCTTGAACTTGTCGCTGACTGTTTGTCTCCTAGTAGGTCGTACTTATTAACCTATTGAAATAGAAAAGCACTTTGAAAGTCAGTGATTGTGAATGACACTCGCTACCAGTCAGTGCTTTGCCTGCACTGTGCTGCTTGGCGTCTAATACCCGCTTCAGTGTGATATGGGTTAGAGGAAGCTTAATGCATTCTTGTCATTGTTTCTCTGAACACTGTTAAATTCACTCTGTTCTGTGATGGATTGAAGAAAAGACACAACTTCCAATCTGGTCGCACAAAGCAGGAGTTTGTGTTTGTTGTGTCGCTAGCGGGACAGTGAGTTATTATTAAATATTCAATATGAAGCAGAGATCTTAGTGCGTCTGTCAGTGTGTTGATTATGGAATGAATCAGGGCAGCGAAGCATGTTGTGTTGCAGGTTTTGATATCACGGTTGGCAGCGAGCCCTCTGGCTCGTTGTAGCTCCTCGTAGTACTCTCTCTGATTCTGCGAGCGGCGTTGATGTCAGTTAATCAGCTGCTTCAGGTGTGGGTGCACGATGACGAGGTTGTGCCACGGTGCAGGTGTAAAAGCTGGCTGTGTGTGTCCAGATTACTCACCATTAGCCCCTCACGCCCCTGAGCAGATGGCCCTTTTTTTTTTTTTTTGCTTGACACACATGTAGCTGTTTTGCTCCAGCGAACACGATTCTGTGTCACCGTGTCCTCTGTTGAGTCCAATTAGAGTTCACGTAGAGTACAGTATGAAGATAAAGCAGCACGATCCGGCAGCTGGCAGGACGCAAGCCTTTTTTCTTCCGTCCTTCAGCCGGTGGTGTAACCCTCCACTTGGTTTTAGCGGTGAATTACTTAATTTCATAACCGACCTTGGCACCCAAATGTGAAGTTGACGTAATCTTTTCTCACCATTAGCGGAGCCGTTGGTGGGACAACGAAATGCCATCTGCCGGCTTAGCTCTTCCCCGTCTCTCTCTCTCCTGCACAAATACCAGCTTAGAAGCAGAGGTGGTGCGCCGGCGATTGTGCAACCGCATACCTCAATGCGACTTTAGGCCGAAGAGCTGGAGTTTTCTTGAACTGCTGGCGTGTCGGTGAAAAGCTGCTCTCAGAGTTGTGTTGTGGCAGAAGTCTGATTGATGTTAGCATAGAAGGACGTAATTCTTTCATGGTGTTGTTTAAGGTGCACGCAGAAAATTAGAGGGTAGATGTTAAACCGAGGCTAGCACAGGCCTCCAGACAACACCTTTTACATGAGTTGCACTGGTACACCTGACTTTTTAAGTTATGTGCACCCTAAATATTACTAAATGATTGTTAACAGGAATAAAAGTGCAGATAAATGAATCGTTCTTTTCAGATGAGCCAGATCTGCAACTTAAATTGACTAAAAAAAAAAAACAGCTTTTATTCTAAGCAGAGGCACATTTTTTTTCTCATTTCTGACTCCTCCAGAGCTGCTACCGGGCGCTAAAACACTGCAGGGAGGTGGTTTGCACATCTGTCACTGCACGAGATGATTTATTTTTTTAATGTTTGGATTCAGAATGCTCAAATGATTACACTCAATGAATGCAATGCACAATATTTGCTGTTTTGTTGTGCTTCCCACAGCGCTGCAGCGTGACTGATGTGCATGCAGAGACTCGGAGGGGAGAGTGTAGCATAGGTTGTTTTGTGAAGCTGAAATTCACAGATGTCCCCTGAATGCCTCACATGCAGAACATTAGTGGACGCGATAATTTCCAGGCGCATCGGTCGAGTCTAGCTTGACAAGTGTTTTACCAAAAATGAGTTTGAAAAGAGTGAAATAAGGTGTTCCAGTGTGAGATGTACCAATGATAAAACATTCAGGCAGACGTCTACAGACCTGCTTAGTGTCAGAAGCAGCGGTGCAGCCAATGAAAAGTTTTAGTTGTACTTCACCGATTTCTGATCCTATGTGAGGCCCAGTGAAGCACAAGAGAGTTTAACTTGTTAAGAATCAGACATTATCGCTCTTGTCCCTAACCTGAGTTTTCTGCTTTCCTTTGACAGCGATGTTACGAACACAAACAGTACAGAAATGGGCTCAAGTTCTGCAAACAAATCCTGTCCAACCCCAAGTTTGCCGAGCACGGAGGTAAGCGGCAGTGAAAGCGTAGCTGTACGGGAAATAAAACCCTCTCATAATCCTGACCGCCTGCTGTGTTGCTTTCTCGCTGCAGAGACCCTGGCCATGAAGGGCTTGACCCTGAACTGTCTGGGGAAGAAGGAGGAAGCCTACGACCTGGTGAGACGAGGCCTCCGCAACGACCTCAGAAGCCACGTCTGTATCCTTTTCACGTCGCTGGGTTTGCGGTCGGTGTGTGATGTTATTGTGTAGAAGAGCTCCTGTCTCTGCAGAGCACCGTCAGCACATCCTCTCTCTTTCTCCGACTCCCAGGCCACAGTGAAATCTGTGCACACTTCCAGCAGATAAGTGCTATCTCAGCCCGAGCTCTGCCTGGAGTCAACACGCGGTAGTATCTCTGAGGAGACGCTCTTGCTATCTCCTGCAGCTCCTCCAGTCGTTCCTTATCTCGGGTGCGTCGCTGTATGTTTTGTGTACGTTGAGGGACGTACGCTGATATTTCAAGCGGCGTCTCATAAAGAGCAGGTGCTCGACAGCAAATCGTGAATAGAAATTCTAATGTGTTGCGTCAAGCTGAGATGAAGCGTTTTGAGTTGAGAGACGGGTCGAGCCCTGTTCAGTCACATCAGAGTCGGAGCAAACGGCGTCAGAAACTCCCGTCTGTAGATGTCACTGGACTTTGTTTTCATTTTGCTCCTTTCTTTTGGCTTAACTGTGATTTATTTTCTTCAGTTTGTCTCATTCTGCTTCAGTCTCTGCGCTGCTGGATAAAGTTATTTAAAACCCAAGTTGTCATTTACACTCCACATTTTTCCCTTAATTTTGAGATAGCAGCACAGTGAGTAGTTCTTTAAAGTGCCATTAAAGAATCATTAAGTACCACTGAGGGGAAATTAAGCTAAAACGAAGAGAAGGCAACACACACTCCACTTAGTTCTCCTCCGACGTCCAACTTATCGAAAAAGAGGTCAGTTCCTTCCCACGTGTATTGCTGCTGCATTGATTTTTATTAAAAAGTCGACCTTTTCCCAAAATATGTTAATCATAAAGTGACTTATTGCTTAAATGCGGCTCATCATACAGCTTGTAATTGCATGATCACTCGTAGAGATTCCTCCAAAATCTCCAATCTTCTGGAAGACGCCTCCTCAAGTCAGCAGCATGTAAACACATATTTACAAGACAAAGCTCAGAGTTACTGTACAAACACCTCTTGGGGTCCCACCAAAGAAGCACAAAATGCAAGTTTTCAGGACGATGACGCCCGCCAAGGAGACATATTTATGTGTAGTAAGGATACAGACACGAGTTTTGACAAGTGAACTCGCATCAATCAAAACTATCGGATCGAACAATATTCATTTTTCAAAGGGGACAGCATGGACTGACAATGCCCCTAAAGAAGAATAAAACCACCCCAAAAGAGTCCACCTCTATGCGATGTAGATTCGGTGGTAGAGCGAGGTTGTCGGTTCGATCCCCCGCCCCTCCACAGTCGAAGTGTCCTCGGGAAAGACACTGAACCCAAAAGTTGCTCCCGATGGCAGCTTGCATGGCAGCTTTGTTGGTGTAAGAATGTGATCTACACTCAAAATGTACGCCGCTTTGGATCAAACCGTCTGCTAAAGGAAATTGTGAATTAGTTACAGTACCTGGTTGTGCCACCAGGTGGAGCCTCTGACTGTTTAATATTGTAACGACCAGAGGAGGCGGCAACCAGGACTACCGGTGTTGATAAGCAGAGAGCATTGTGGGACTTTAGCCACCATGAGATCGTGTCCCATGATGCTTAATGGGACCAAAGATCTCGAGTTGTTAGCATCTTTAACCGCATCACTGTGAGCTAGTTGCTAAATATTAGTGTCATGTGACCATGTTCAACACCATCCCATGAGGCTGAGGAAAGGTAAAGCATCCCGACTCGTGTGAGATACCAAAACAGAAAAATGCCTTTCTGGAAAAACCTTTTAAAGCGAAACACACGACTCGATTGCAAAAAGTCTGTTTCGGAATTTGGGTTGAGTTTGTTTGACAGGACAAGCTCCAGGTTTTAATACGTACCAAAGGCGTGAGAGTCTCCATCCAGTGTGCTTCTGAAAGGCTGCGTTCAAGTCGTCGCCTCGTCTGGATTGAAAATGTCATTTGCTTCGGGGGGAGAGTGTCGACTGTGCAGCAGCCAGTCGAGCAGTTCAGAGCAGCATTGTGGGCTGTGTTTAAGCACTTTGTGATTAATATGTCTTTAAAAAAAACAAAAAGGGTTCCTTGAGAGCAAAATGTCGCTTTTGATAGATCAGTGCAGAGGTGATGCGTTCAGGTGTTCTCTCAGTAAGTGGGGAATTAAGTTCTCGTCGGTTTATTACGCAACCGACCCTGTCGTCCTCGCATAGACGTTCTAACAACGTTTGTGATGATTCAAGGCGCTGTGTTTTTCCTTAACGGCGTCCCAGGCTGGCATGTATACGGTTTACTGCAGCGCTCGGACAAGAAGTACGACGAGGCCATCAAGTGTTACCGCAACGCCCTGAAGTGGGACAAGGACAACCTGCAAATCCTCCGAGACCTGAGCCTGCTGCAGATCCAGATGAGGGACCTGGAGGGCTACCGGGTGAGCGGCGCTTAACTAACAGTCACGATAAACTGTACGTTTTGGATTCTGGTCGGGGAGAGATGAAGGTGTCCCGTCTGGAGGAGCAGGTTTTTAGAAATGTGTGAACTTTTAGCTGAGAAGAGGGGGATAAAAAAAAAAGCAGACGTCAGATAATTTGTGGGGAAAAGTTTCCTGAATGCTCCCATCTGTCGCCGGGCCTCGTCCAGGTCGCAGCGTGGCGCTGATTTGGAGGAGGACCGGGCGAATCGGCAGGCGGCTATCGGGCTGCAGTCAGTCTTCACAATGTAGAACAGCTCTCCTGGGACACAGCCTGGGATTTAGATGCTTATTTAGCGAGAGGTATGAAATGGCAAGATGAAAGTCTGCTTGAAAGGATTAAAAATATGGATGAGAGAGGACAGGGAGGGGCTCTGAGTCAGAGTGTATTAGGTGTTTATTTTAGTTCTCCCTGAGCCAGCGAGCAACATCCTGGTCGCAGCGCCATGAGTCAGCAAAATTGCTTTTTTTTTTTCTCCCCCCACCTTTTTCCTGCTCTTCAAACCGTCGCCTCGCTCTCTCTCTCTCTCTCCCGGTTTATCTCCTCAGACACGCATCAAATTTTAAAAGTAATTTGGGCAGAGATGCCGTACTTTCGGAGAACATCCTTTTCCACTCTGCTGGATGTGAGGCAGGCGCAGATTAATGCGTCGCTGAAGTTACGTTGAGCTCAAAGTTTTTTTTTTAGTGTCGTGAAGGCACCACGGTAACTGATGCTGCACAGCTGACCTGCAGAAAGCATCTCGTCTGTCCAGCTCTTTTCCTGATGGTTCTCAAACCTGTTGGTAATCCCTCTACGAAAAAACCAAACAGAGCCGTCAGTGAAAACCAAGCAAACTGTATGCGTTACGTCAGCACAGCAGCCAACATTCATCCACCTGCTGATCCAGAAAATGCGTTAATGTGTTTTTTACGCTTGATCCTGACTTGCTGCCCGGTCCGCCGTACGCTGCAGGTTAGTTTATTGTTATTTATCAAAGAGAATATTCAGTCGATAACGTTCATTTCTCTTCGATTTGGCCAAAAACTAAAGTTCTCCTTTATTATGGGACGGTGTCAGACCTCAGTACACCTCTTGGATAAGTTTGAGTTGCATTGACAATCACTGAGCGGCAAAACAAATACATAAACTTGCATAATTACCTGTCGTCTACCAGCGTTTCTCTCTTGCATGACTGCCGTAAACTTCTACAGCTCTGCAGTGAAACTACTCCATCCTTTCCTACTGAAGTAGGCAACATCATTGGTTCATTTTTTGCAAAAGAATCCTTACTTACCTTATTACAAAAACCCTGTTTTTTGAGCGTACGTAGAGTCTGAAGAAGAGAAACCTGGTTAACGAAGGAAATTCAATCAGACTGGGGTTTTAGGTTTAGTTTAGCCAGCTCACACAAAGAAAGCTTGCGTCCTAGTTGAGCCCTCTGATGTTAACTCGGCTAAATAAACCCGTGTTCACGTTTTGTTTCTTCCTACAGGAGACACGGTACCAGTTGCTGCAGCTGCGTCCAGCCCAGCGAGCCTCCTGGATCGGCTACGCCATCGCCTACCACCTCCTGGAGGACTACGAGATGGCTGCAAAGATCATTGAGGAATTCAGGAAAACGCAACAGGTCAGACGACTAAGCACGACCATCTGATGATCGGCGCTTCCTGTCTCGTGTTGATCTACCTGCAGGCTGGAACAAGTCGAGGCTCTTCGATGTCATTCAGCTGCCTCTTCAGTGGGCTGCATCCGGCTCCTTGTTTTGCTCCACAGGAGATCCGCTGTGAGCAGTAGGGCCACTCAAACCAGATCCTGCAGCAGATGGAGGACAGGTTCATGTGCTGCCAGCTGAGGATAGTCCACCTGTAATATATAACGGCCGAGTTGGACGAGAGACTCACTGGAGAGGCAGCTGAATGACGTTAAGGAGCAACAAGACCATTCAGCTTGTTTAAAACCACAGGACGGGACAGGACGGTCTGCGGCTAGCTGGTTAGCAAGGACAGAACTTTGTAAAGAAGCATCACAACGACGGTGACACGAATCACCAGCTGGTCACGAAGCTGAAGCGACGGTCTTTAAAACCAGGCGACACAAGAGAACGTGTGATGATGAGTTCAGAAATCTGTGGAGAGGAACAAGAGTCAGATTGTGATTTTACCAGAAATCAGTCAGATCAAACCACCTGCAGCGTCGCATTTCTCTTGTACAAAGACGATCCAATCCAATCAGAGAATGGCGGTGCAGGACATTTGGATCAGAAGCCTGAATGTGTTTTATGCTCAACGCACATTTCTACGCTTCTGACTCGCTGATTGATGCAACGAGCGCTCTGCAGAGTTCAGAACATGTTTGCCGTCTAGACTTCACTCCGTCTCTTTCTGGCTCTCTCTGATAAGCCCACAGCTTCCTGCTTTTGTGCCATCTGTGTGGCGACACAAAGAGCCGCCGTGACCGAGCAAATAAGGCGCAGAGAATAATTCAGAGTTTCCTCAAGTCCATTAAGTCTGCTCGGTGGTCAAAAAAAAAAAAAAAAAAACGAATAATGAAACTCACGCCGGCTCGTTGTTTGTGTGTTTGTGTTCAGACGTCTCCGGACAAGGTGGACTACGAGTACAGCGAGCTGCTACTCTACCAGAACCAGGTGCTCAGAGAAGCAGGTCTGCACAAGGAGGCCCTCGAGCACCTGTCCAACTACGAGAAGCAGATCTGCGACAAGCTGGCGGTGGAGGAGACACGAGGTGGGCAACTTCATCTTCACCATGACACCTACAGACCTGCTCTCAGCTTAGCACAGAAATCCTGTTCAGGGTCATTTTTCAACCCGAGTGCAGTCCGATAGACGGATGAAGATAAAAATCAGCAGTCGATGCCATGAGTGTAGCCGGGTTCTCTCCGCTGGTGCGTCTGTTCTCAGCCAGAATGTGGTTAAAGTAACTGGTCTGCACTTTCAGTAGCGGTTCATTATCTTGCCCACGGACACAGCCGGGGATCGAACCGCCAACCTTGGGATCATTCATTTATTTCAGACAAAGAGGGCATAAATACACAATACAAATAAAACTAAGAACCTAAAATAATGTCTGAAAACGACGAGTAGGATGAACTCATCCACCTGCTACATCTCAAACCTTATCGTTTCCTCTTTACGTCAAACCTTATATTTGTATAGCAACTCCTGAGGACATTTACTTTTCCACATTAACGTATTTTTCAAGCATTCTTTTTGTTTTGTATTCTTTTTATTTAAACAGTTGTAGTTGTACAGACGTCAGTGGACAACCTGCGTGAAAGGATGTCGGTTTGTTTTGGTGCCTAAACGAAGCTAAGAAGGAAAAATAATGTGACAGCGCAGGAATCTCGGTTTCATACGTTGCATGTTGATGTGAGTGGCGCCGACGCCGAAGGAAGCCTTCTGAGCATCTCTCAGCAGTTTTGGCAAACCGGCATTATGTGACGCCCTGGGACTGAGAACAGGCTGGACGTACAGTAAAGGTTTTTATAGAGGCATTAAAAGTGGCAGAGACACTGGAATGTGATTGTTAAACCCGTCATAGAGATGTCCAAATCTACACACTTCATTAATCTGCAGCCGGAGTAGAATCTGTCATAAAAACACGACTCTTCGCCATCTAGTTTCAATCTGAGAACTTCTTAATAGAACTTACGTCTTCAAGGAGAAATGAGCTTAAAATAAAGTCGACTGGTTGGTTTTTAGTTGCCTTTATTTTGCACAAGCAGTTTATTTGCATTTTTTATTATATTCCTAATTTCCGAGCAGCTTCTGACTCTCGGTTTTTGCGTTCCTGCAGGAGAGCTGCTGCTGAAGCTGGAGCGTCTCGACGAGGCGACAGAAGTCTACCGTCGTCTGCAGGAGAGGAACCCAGAGAACTGGTCCTACTACCACGGCCTGGAAAACGCCCTCAAACCAGGTGTGGATCCTTTTTGTCACCAACACCAGCATCGCCGTCCAGTAAAATACCCAATTATACCAGCCACATCTGGAGACTGAGCTCTTGTTTTTTTTAATTTTCAGGCAGCGTAGAGGAGAGACAGAAGATCTACGAAGACGCCTGGGAGAAGTTTCCCAAAGGACTCGTCCCTCGCCGGCTGCCCCTTAGCTTCCTTTCTGGTGCGTCCAATAGTACAGCTGAAGTTAACAAGCGACTTGAAAACTGCGGGAAAACAACAATGTGTTTCTGCACCACGTACCTGAGGCTTATGTTAAAAAAATCAAGCACACCCCTGCCAATGAACTTTAAAAAGGGATATATTCTTGTAAAAATTAGCAAAATGACTCCGTTTATTAGAGCGAGAAGCTGTAAAAACTGGAAGATTTCACAGATTTTTCATCTTTCTGGTGGTTCTCGAAGGAAAAATGAGCTTAAAGTTGTGATATTTACATGTCCCATTTAGAAATTTGTTTAAAATAACTGGTTTGCACCTGAGAAACCATCGAGACGAGAGCAAAATAAAACTGAATAAACAAATGCAGCATGACTCAAAGTTGTTGGAAGATGCATTCAGTGAGTGGAAACAGCCTTGGAGAGCTGATGTGCAGAGTTTAGGCCAGTGGTGAGAGAAATGTAGTTTATTCTTTTGTTATTTACGGTGTTAAACCATTGCTATGCTTTAAGTCCTCTCTCCGTCTAGTCGTTGCTTTGCTGTTTCCGTAGAGGTGCAGGACTTTATGTTGCAGCGAAAAACGAGCAGATAAACGCCCAGAAAGTGCTCGGGGTTGACTTAATAACGAGTCCTGACTTGGGAGGTAATTGCAGATAACAGGTTTGTTCCAGTGCTGACCTTTTGCAGGTGGGTGTTTGCTAAATTGGACCCGTGGCATTTGGTCCGGGTTTATTTGTGTATAGATTCCCTCAAACATGGTGTTGTTTTAGAACATGAGCAGGCTGGTGGCTGTATCTCCATTACGCCTTCGTGCTCGTACCGCGACTTCCTTCTTCGCTGTGAACATGTGAAGGTGACCGATGTCTGCAGCAGTTCTACGAGTCCCGGCTTGTGTATGTTTAAAATAATGTAATCGTGTGAACGCTGCGGGGTGAACTTGACGATCTTCTTCTGTTTCTCTGCAGGTGAGAAGTTCAGAGAGTGTCTGGACCGATATCTGAGGATGAACTTCAGTAAAGGCTGCCCGCCCGTCTTCACCACGCTCAAGTCGCTGTACAACGACAAAGAGAAGGTGACGCCGCAGTGACGTTTAAACTCTAGAAAAGATTCTAGTACAGGGGTGGGCAACCCGCCGCTCTTCCATCCCTCTGCTGCGGCTCCTTGTATATTTGGAAAATAAATAATGAGCGTTTAATTTAAATGTATTTTATTTTAGTTCGTTAGTTTTTGAAATGTAATTCTAAAGTTGAAGATTATGGTGATCTTATAACATTAAAATAAAACGTGTTTAATTTGTTGTCGCTCAAAATGTGCGTCGCAACCGCCGGCACGCACAGTCTTGCTAACTTGGTGACTTTCCAAAACCTCCTGCCGACCGTTTTTTTGTCAAAAGCGACTAGCGACAAATCTAGCAACGCTTTCTGGTGTTTTGGAGACTCTGATGTGAAAACGCATATCGTTCTGCAGTTCCTGTCCTCAACATGCCGCAAAGTGCTCACAGGCGGTCAGCAGTCTGGTCAGCAGTCCAGCTGCAGGCAGCAGGACAACCAGACGGCATGTTTACTTTGCTGCAGGTGGATGATAGTAAATAAAAATCAGCTTTTTATTTTATATATACGAGGACGACTCAAATAGACGTTGAATATTTTATTTTTACTTTTTCGGAGTTTGAAATGTTTTTGTTGCAGAAACTAAATTTAGTTTTCTCTGTAGCAGTTCATTGATTTCATAAATGCAACACACTATAGTTTTTATACATAACATAAAGATAGAAACAATATACGCAGTGTTATCTTTATTTTAGATGTCAAAAGGGTTTTGTGGCTCCTGGTGTTTTCTTTTCCGTGGGGAACGGGTCCAAAGAGTGTTGAAGGTTGCGGACCCCTGTTCTAGTATATATATCTGTGATGCGTGTATTCTGCTGCAGGTGAGATGATGCCGTTTGTCTGTTTGCAGGTGGCGATAATCGAGGAGCTGGTGGTCAGCTACGAAACCTCGTTAAAAAGCTGTCGAATGTTCAGCCAGAACGGTGAGAAGAAAACCAGGATGACTTTAAATTGATGGTGGGACGGGATTTAGAAAGAAATTAATCTGATAAATTAAACGCATTTTTATCAAATAGCAACGTTTGACACGAGCAAAGTTTTTCAGTTCAAATAAATGTTGGTTGATGAATGGACATAAACATGAACTTAAACAGCACAAAATGTTTATTATTCATCTATACTTATCTGTATTTTTCATCCGTCTGCTACATTCACAGATTAGTGCAATTATAGCGATTATATTCAACGTTTTAAGGCTTTTTTTCTCTACTTTTTGAAAAAAAATTGGGCTAATTTTGGGGAAAAAAAATCACTGCTGTGGACATGCAGCATAAAACTTTGACAAGAAAAAAAACTTTCCACCCAATCACAGCTCACCAAACTTTCTTGACGTCACTCTTTGCAGCTGGCAAACAAACTTTAGGTGCATTAGCGCCACCTACTGGCTGGAATGTGAGTGTTACCAGAAATTAGGGAACAGAGAAAGATGCGATTAAATGCGTTGTTTTTTCTGTAATTAAATGATCATAATGAACGTGTTTAAGTGTTTTTAAATGCTTGTGGTTCTCTCAGACGACGGCAAAGAGGAGCCTCCGACCACGCTGCTCTGGGTGCAGTACTTCCTGGCTCAGCACTACGACATGATCGGCCAGCAGACACTGGCGCTGGAGCATATCAACACAGCCATCGAGAGCACGCCTACGCTCATCGAGCTCTTCCTCATCAAAGCCAAGATCTACAAGGTAACATACGTTCGCCCGGTTGTTTGCTTCCCGAGAGTTCGCGCCGCTTTGCTTCAGCATCGACCTTTTTTTTTTTTCTGTCGCTCCCGCAGCATGCTGGGAACATCAGAGAGGCTGCCCAGTGGATGGACGAGGCCCAGGCTCTGGACACGGCGGACAGATTCATCAACTCCAAGTGTGCCAAGTACATGCTGAAGGCGGGGATGATCAAAGAGGCCGAGGAAATGTGCTCCAAGTTCACGCGGGTGAGGGGAAAACCGCGAGGCTGTTTACACGCCGGCAGCTGAAAACTTATGAAAACATTAAGCCGTTTATTGAATCAAATAGCAAATGACGGCTACAATATGAAGATTATATCTTATATATTCGCATCCTGCAAACTAAGGAACAGAAGCTGGATTTCTTTGTTTGTAAATATCCACTCATGTCAGATTTACGTTGGAAAAAATACACAAGAGCTCCGGTAAAATATAACGATGTCAAATGTCGTAAATCACACAAAAATAAATAAGAAAGTTTAATTTCTTTGATTATTTTTTTGTACAACATAAAAAAAAAAAAGCTTGCACAGCGTTTTTTCCACGTGCCCACAGGTGTTAAAATACTGAAAAACATAATAACTCTACATGCTATAGATATTTTACACAGCCTGCAGTTCGGCCTGAGGATCTAGATGGCGCCTATCAGTCTAATTTTGGTGCATCTAATGTTGATATTTGTCAACAATTTACTAAATGAAGTTAAACACATTTAAAACCTTCTTTTCTTTGAACGCTACAGAGTTTTTCCGGCCATGAATACATACGACAAATTCAATAGAAATCGATGCATTTTGTTGTTATTTTTGACTAAAATGTCTAATATACTCAAGTAAATTAAAGCCCAATGAGCAAACAGGTTTTAAAAATTCTCAGTTTGTGTGTTTTGGTGCTGATTAATTCATTAGCTGTTATTCAGGGGCGCAAAAAAATTCCTTTACGCAGACGACACCCTGCTTTAAGCACATTTCTAGGATTTGTTAACGATGCGAACACACACATGGTTTACTGGTGTTTACTGTTTTATCTCCAGCTGAGACTTCGAGTTTCAGGTATCCAAAAGAAAAGAAGTACAAAGTATTTGTTCCACCGCTTTACGGGTTAAAGGATCATCTGTGTTCTGACAATTCTGTTGACGCTGATCTCATAAAACCTGCTGTTCGTCCAGGAGGGGGCGTCAGCGGTGGAGAACCTGAACGAGATGCAGTGCATGTGGTTCCAGACGGAGTGTGCGCTCGCCTACAAAGCCATGAACAAGTTCGGAGAAGCCCTCAAGAAGTGCCACGAGATCGAAAGGGTGAGTTTACACGAATCAGCGCATCTCGTTTGAATCGGACTCCTCGGCCGCCTGCCTGAACTTATGGGTTAAAATCGCACCTTTGTTCACCCTCTGCAGCATTTTGTGGAGATCACGGACGACCAGTTTGATTTCCACACCTACTGCATGAGGAAGATGACGCTACGCTCCTACGTGGACCTGCTGAAGCTGGAGGACGTCCTCCGGATGCATCCGTTCTACTACAAGGCCGCCGTCACCGCCATCCAGATCTACCTGAGCCTCCACGACAATCCGCTGACCGACGACAGCAAAGAGCTGCAGGCCGACACCGGTGAGACGCTCGAGAAGCTCACGGGATTATTTAAAGAGGAACGTTGTGCATTTACTGTGTTAACGGCGGTCGTCTTCTTCTTCTTCTTCTCCTCCAGCGAACCTCTCGGACAAAGAGCTGAAGAAGCTGAGGAACAAGCAGCGGCGAGCCCAGAAGAAGGCCCAGTTGGAGGAGGAGAAGAAGAACGCCGAGAAGGAGAAGCAGCTCAAGAACCAGAAGAAGAAGAAGGAGGACGACGACGAGGAAATCGGAGGACCCAAAGAGGAGCTGATCCCTGACAAGCTGGTCAAGGTCAGTGACGGGGAAACGGCGAGCAAGCAAGCCGGCGGCGGGAGTATCTTTTATTTATGTGATGCTTTTACCGTCCACAGGTAGAAAATCCACTGGAAGAAGCCGTCAAGTTCCTGATGCCTCTCAAACACCTGGTCAAAGACAGAATCGACACGCATCTACTGGCCTTCGAGATCTACTTCAGGAAAGGTTGGCACGTTACACGATAAACTTTATTTACACGTTCTGCAGCAAAAACAGCAATGAGGGAAGCAAGACAAGAAATATAAAAATATAAAAGTATATTAGATTGTCAGCTGAGACGGATGTGACACGGATTAATAGAGACCAACAGTTCTACGTTGTGTGATTGGGCTTGCACACAGAAAACAGTGATGAAATATGTTGCTGTACATTTATTATATTGTGTTATTGAACTGTAGAAACAGTAAGTAGAATAGTGTTGGTGCTACTCAAGTGCAATTACATAATATGTTATGTCATGGACGTGTTTTTTTTGCAGTATTTCATATACTTTTTGTCGGGTTAATCCCTCATAAGTAGATTACTCAGCATGTTTTTGCATTAAATGACACTAGCTGTAATGTTTAGTCCTGTTCAGTTCCTATATAATCCTCCTGACTGGACGCTGGCTGGCTCAATAATCTGTTTTTTTTTTTTCTCTCCTCGCCAGAAAAGTACCTGTTGATGCTCCAGTCGGTGAAGAGAGCGCTGGCCATCGACCCCGACCACCCCTGGCTACACCAGTGTCTAGTTCGCTTCTTCAAAGGAGGTATGCCGTTTCTCGCTGCTCCACCACGTCTACTAATCGCATCGCCTCCTGCCTCCACAGTCCTTCATTCTTTGGCTTCCTGTTTTTCAGTTTCCGAGAGCAAGGAGCTGCCCGAGGTGGTCCGGACGGTGCTGAAGCAGGAGATCACCCGGCTGTTCGGCGACAGCAACGCTAAGAGCTTCAACCAGGCCTACCTCAGCAAGCACTCCAACTCCATACCGCACCGACTGGCTGGTAAACCTCTCCGGCTTTCTCTCTCGTTATCAACGCTGAAAACTTCAGAGCCGAGTTGAAGACGAAATTCTGAAAACCAAACCCGACGTGCCACAAGTGCTGGAGATCCATTATTAGTGACGAGTGCAGCAGCAGGAGAAAATTTTTGCATTTCTGTCGGATGAGCCAAAAAAATAAAATTGCTGAGAATCTGTATCGCTCATAAACAATAGTCAGGAAGCAATTTCATTAAAGGGAGTCGCTTCTTCCAGCCGATTTAAATCTGAAACTTAACATACTGAACATAACCTGCACCACGTTAGCTCTGCAGCATCAGTTACCATGGAGATCTAGCTCCACAGCATCAGTTACCATGGAGATCTAGCTTCGCAGCATCAATTACCGTGGCGATCTAGCCCCGCTGCATCAGTTACCATGGAGACCTAGCTCCGCAGCATCAGTTACCATGGAGATCTAGCTCCACAGCATCAGTTACCACGGAGATCTAGCTCCACAGCATCAGTTACCATGGAGATCTAGCTCCGCAGCATCAGTTGCTATGGAGATCTAGCAGGTTAAAAGAGAGCCCCCTTCATTACACTGATGACTTTAGACTCAACCCACCTGCTGACCCACTGATCCTGCTCCGTACTCCAGCCCTCTGATCTCCACCTTAAAACTGAGTCGTAAAGCTTTAACCTTTGCTCACACAACCGTAAAATAATCGTCACTGAAACGCATTCTGTCTCCGCCCGCAGCTGCTAAGATGATGGCGTATCTGGACTCGTCGACGGAAACGAAAGCAGCAGAGCTGGCCACCGCACTGGACGAGTCGCTCGACAACAGAACCATACAGGTTTGTGTTCCAGAACCATTAACCGTACTGCAGTAATACTAATTAATTAACTCTGTTAATGACCTGATGAATGAATCTGGTAATGAACTCCAACCTAAACAGCTGAGAACTAAAGCCCCTCACTGAGTCTTTCTTCTGTCCTCGTTGTCCTGAGCAGATCTGCACAGAGGTCCTGGAGTGCCTCCGGAGCGGCGTCCTGGGCGACTGCAAGGAGCTCGGCGAGTCGTACCGCGCCGAGTGTCACAAGCTTTACCCCTACACGTTAGCGTTCATGCCCCCCGGATACGAGGAGAACACCAAGATCGCCAACGGAGACGTCTCCACGGAAACGGAGGAGCTGGCCAACGAGATGTGAGCGCGACGGGACGACGACGACGACGAGCGGATGTGGACGAAAAAAAAAAAGGAACTGGGCCGAGCGCGGAGCCTTGCGGTACGCCGGGGCAGCCGTTTTGCGGAGCCGGGCGCGGGAAGCGGAAGCTGCTTTCGTCGTCCCCCGGGGCTCGGCTCAATCGGGTCTGACCCGGCATGGCTTGGCTTGGCTCTGTCCCACATGGGTGAAATTCAGGACTGTGTGTGTGTGATGATTGCGTGTGTGTTTGTGTGCGTGCATGTGTGTGTATTTGTGGGAAAGCGGGGGGGAAAAGAGGACGACAACAGAACGGCCATTTTTACTTTTTTTTTTTTTTACAGAATCATGAAAATAAATAGTCGGGAGAAACTGTGACGCACTCGGACTGCTGTTTTGTTTTGTTTTTTCCCCCCAAACCACTCGAACCTGCTGCTCCGACTAACGCTGACCGTGTTCCCCTTATTTCAAAAGACAGCGTCACTCAAACCGCCGTCGCCGGGCGGATCCGAGGAGTTACCGAGGACCCGGAGCGGCGACCGCCGACGCCGACGCTCGCTCCGGTGAACTCTGAGAGGACGCCGCCGCCGCCCAGCAGGGGGAGGACGCGGAGAGTGTCGCTCCTCCACCAGAATGTGCTTCCCTCACGGTTCCCGCTCGGGACACTTTTTGTAATCCACGGAGCACCTTGTAGCACAGAATTCAAAAACTGCAAAAGGTTGTGCGTCGCGCTCCGTTTCAAACACACTGTTTTTGTTTTTTATTTTACGTAGATCGGAGAGAGGTGGCTAAGACCTAAGCAATACCTTCCTGTCCACGACGGACCTTTTTACTGGTGATTTGTAGATCAGGTGAGCCTCTGAGTCGCTTTGCGTTGCTGTTGCTGTTTCATCTGCATGTACAAGGACTCCGTCGGTCCAGGTGGAGACGAGCCTCCGGTGCATCTCCGCTCCTCGGAAAGGTCACAAATCAGCATCAGAGCCCGTTGCCAAGGTGACAGACAGGACAACGACACATCTCCGTTCATCCCCCTTCATTTTGTTTTGTTTTGTTCCAGCGATCTCTTTTCTTCCCCTTTTTCCCTCTAATTTGGGTTCTAATGTGAAAAATGAAATCTGAGATGGTGATGTATGATATCTCTGGATTTTTGTATTAAAACCAAAAGAAGAAAAAAACATATTGGGCCTTTTTTTGTTTGTTTGTTTTTTTGTGCTTGGTAGCTGTTGCAGGAGGAGCCGACCCGGATCTGGTTTATATTGAAATGTCTCGTTTTGTTTGTTTACTGGCTGCGATGTTAAAACCACCACAATGACTGTTGAAGTGCTGGAAATGTTAGCCGATACCTGTTGCAGCCCGAGGCCTCCCCCTGCAGGACGAAAGGCGCCACTGCACTGCAGGTCTGATCCGGAGCGGCTCGAGGAACACGAACAAGAGCCTCCAGACTCCCCACAGGGCAGCTCCAGAGCTCCGGTGGTAACACTTAGATGGGTGTAGATGGATTTATGTTTAGGTGTCGTTCTGCCTTTAAAAATGGTCAAATCACATTTAAAATCCGATTATAATTTCCGTTATTAATGTAAAAAGTATCGAGGCTGAGATGCCACAGTGTTGTTTAAGATGTGAGTTTACTGCAATAGATTACACAGAAATGATGTAAAACACAAATACAGTAAGTTTGTAGGCAGCATCTACATATTCTGGGGAAATGTCTCCTTTAAAATTAGGCGGAACAATTTGAGTAAAATATTACAGGTAGTGACGAATATCTGGGTGTTAATTGGAACTTTTTAAATATCAGGAAATGTCGAGAATCAAACACTTCTGCTCAGTTTTGTGCTCCAGTTTGTGCCTTTCTGCATCAAATTTATGGTTGATTATAATCATTATAATAAATCCTGAAGTTCCTCCTGAGAAACACGCTGGAAAGATCTTTGTAGAATCTTTACCTTCAATAAAAACAAGACAGAAGCCGACCTTTATTCAATTTCTTTGACAGAGGCAGTTGTTTTTATTCTACAGTTTGTCGAACACCCACATGTGACGTTTATGCAGACATGTTTGGATATGAAGGTCCTGCTGAGATCAGAGGTTATAAATGATGACAAACACTGCATTTAATCAGGATACTTGCTCAAACAAAGTAAGAGTAAAATATGAAATGAGAAGAGTTGAGCTGCGGGAGAATAAAAATGTGACAGAACGCCTCCATTATGCTCCCGTATGCTTTGAATTCTCACCTGGTGCCTGTGAACCGATGAAGCGTGACAGTGGAGGGAATCCACCAGCAGGAGGCAGCACAGGGCTGCAATAGTCAGATTAGTTAACTTTATATTAGGCCTCTCTTTTTTCTCCCCAGTGGCGATAACACCTGTTTTTGTGTTTTTTAGCGTGACATCTCTGAGTTCTGTCTCCTTCTGGTCCTGGTTGTTGTGTTTCCACTGAGCTGCAGGACTTCATGTTGGAGTGAAAAATGAGACCGGAGCCGATAAAACACCAGAAAGTGTTTGGGTTTGAACGGGAGAAGTTGAGCTTAATGGAAGTTAAAACAAAGCTCAAGAGGTTTACTGTCAGACGCAGAGAAAACCAGAGAGACTGTTCACTGAAATTCATAAATACAGAATCAGAGGTAAAAATAAAGCCGTTAATAGACGTCTACAGTCGCTGAAGGAAAACAACAACTCCAGTATTTTAGGAAAGAAAGTCATGTAATCTGAGCTCCTCTATAAACCACCAGATGGCAGATCTGTGTTGGTCTGATTCTGTCAAACTCGCCCAAATACAAAAATTTGACTCCACAGAGCGTTTAAAGACGACAAACGATTAAATCTACATAAAATACTGTCTATAAACACACCAGAAAACAAGAACCAGTGGTGAGTTTAAATAAAAACTGGTGCAAATGGAAGCATTCGCTGATTTCTGCAGACTGTCAACAGTTTAATGAAACCTGAATGTTTTTATTATATGTTCATTTCCAGACAGTCCAGATTTAAAATGTGATTCTCATCAGGTGTGAAACACTTCAACACAGACATACTGATGAATATTTAGTCATGTGTGGCAGCAGCTGTGCAACATTCAGCTGATTTAGTATAAAAACCAGTTCAGGAAACCAGTACAAAAATGTAGTTTTTCCATTTCCCCTTTTGGACAAACGGCAGACAGACAGAAAGCAGAAGTGAAAAGTAAAAACATAAAACTGAAGCGGAGGATGTAAATGTGTGAGATTATCTACGAACAGGATCTAAAGCAGGACAACGTTCAGGAAGGTGTTCAGTGAAAAAGGAGTTTGTTCCCCTGAGATGAAGGTTTTCTGTCTCCAGAGAGAAAAATCAACGAATGATTCATGTTTTAAAGAAACATTAAACGTCTGAGTGGAAAAAGAAAAAGAAAAACCTAAAAGATCATCTCGTCTTATATCATTTAACTATTTTATACTTCCTGTGGTAAAACAATTGACAAAGTTTTAGTTTGTTTTGTTTTTGCTTCTTAGAAATTAAAACAAATGAGATTTTGTTTATAAAACACAAACAACAACAACAACAACTTGTGTTTAGTTTCCAAAACAATAATTATTTGCCAAAAACTAAAATGAGTCGTGTTGGTGGTCTGGGTATTATTGAATAATCTCAGACACATTTAGAATTTTTATTTCTGTTCTTTCTTTCAAAACAGAAAATGGAGGAAAAAACATGTTTCAACAAATTAAAAAAATAATCAAACACAGATTTTTTTTTCCTTTTATCATTTGTAAACCAAAAATGTAAGTAACACGGTGGATTTTTATTTTTTTGTATCTTTTTTACTTTTTAATTTTAAACAAAAAACGAAATAATGTGGTTTATTAACGTGTGCTTATCAAATTAAAAATAAGGAAAAAAGTTTTAAAACAAACAACAACAACAACAACAACTCCAATTTTAGCTTTTTGCAAAGTCTTTTTCCACTCCGGACATAAAGCAGAAGTGTGAGAAGAACAATAGTTTGACTCGTCACCGGCTGGTTCACGCTTCAGACAGAAGAACTAAGAAAACAAACGAACTGAGTTCATATGATGGATTCTACAGTCGTGTTTTTATTGGTACCGAGATAAATAATCAGTGATTGTCCTGGAATAAAATAAAAATCTGATATAATGTATATTCTACAAAAAGAAAAAGAAATGAGTGTTATAAATTAGATGTAAGTGTCTCAGAATGACGAATTTAATTAGTGCTGTAATTAATACAGGCTGTGATTCTCACTCCGACCAGCAGGTGGCGGTGATGTCAACGCTCACCAGCCGCAATCAAACGAAGAAGAAGAAGAATTAGCCGCCGAAGAAGAAGAAGTTCAGCTACATGCTGTCAACTAGCATGGAATTGGCGCTAAAATGAATTTTTATTCGCAGAAACTGTCGAACTGAGCCCGTGTTGGACTTCTGAGGGACCGGTTCGCTGCTCCGCGGTTCGTCGGTGAGTAAACCGACGATGTTTTGCTCGTAGCTGCAGAAGTCAGCGTTAGCTCGCATGCTAACCCTCCGCCGCTCCGTGTTTCTGCTCCCGTCTCAGGTCCGAGGATGAAGGTGAAGATCCGGCAGTGGAACGGGGTGGCCTCCTGGCTCTGGGTGGCCAACGACGAGAACTGCGGCATCTGCAGGATGCCCTTCAACGGCTGCTGCCCGGACTGTGAGTGGCCGCCGAGCCGCCCGGTGCCGGCTTCCTGAGCTAAACCCGGTGCTAGCATGCATGCTAACTAGCTGCTGAGAGTCGAGCTTGTTGACTGTTTATATCAATATTATATAAAACACCAATACACCTGACTGATTTAAAGGTCCCATACTGTGCCCATCTTTCAGTTTTGTTTTGGTAGATCAATACCACCAATATGGTTCCATTTTACTGTTAAAGTCAGATTTAAATCGGTTACAACCACAAGTAGAAGTCCAAAAGTATAAACGGTTGGTTAGATGTCATAGATGAGGTGAAGAGACTCAACACCTGCATGGATGATGTCAGAATATGAACTCAGAGGAAGTTGAAGTAAAGTTTAAAGACTGTGAAGTTTTATTGAAGTCAGAAACACGCCTGTCAACAAGCGTCCTGCTTAAAACTAGTTGTTCTGTTCTGCTTCACACCTCGAGGCTCCATGATTACAAGTTCAAGAGCACGAAAGCGGAGCATTTTGTTGGCCATAACTTCAGTTTTATTCCCGTTCTAAACTAAATGTTCTGTAGCTTTAAATGCGGCTGAAGCTCTGCTGCCCCGCCCACTTCAGGAAGAAGACTCTCTGTTGGTTTTTGACAGTGTGATGAGTTCAGACAAGAAACCAGAAAAAAATTAATGAGAACAGCTTTGTTAACGGTGAGCACAGGGAGCAGGAGAGAAGCAAACACATGTTGACAGAGTTCAGGTTGAGCTAAAGCGCCATCGTTCTGTCAGGTTGACCCGTGGACGTACGATCGGTGCTGCGTAGCTGAGCTCTGGGTGGTCAGCTCCTCAGACGCTGGCCGTGCATGAAGACTCTTGTGTTTGCTCTTGTAGCCAATAGCAGGACATTCGGTGAGCTTCGATCGTAGCTTAAACGCTTCAGAGTTAGCAGGAGCAGCTTGAGAAAGACAGCTTGGTTCCAGTTGTGTCCTGAGTTCTGCTTAGAAACTGAGGCGGTCCGGGTCAGGACGGCTCGAGGAACGGCAGGAGACTTTCACAGCTTGTAGTTTACAAGTTTTATGACGTACAAAACTCAATAAAAATGGATTTTCACCACATGGGACCTTTAAAATGATACAAATTTAGCTTAATAGTTTAAATCTTAAGGTGAAGACTCTATCTGTGTGTCTATGTGTGTTTGTTAGAGGTTAACGACGATTATCAGCACCTTTTTACTTAACAATTTTTAAAAAACAGTGATATTATGGGAGAAGACTGACAAATCAGAAGAGCAGCAGATGTTTAGTCCTGTTTCTGTTGTACCTATTCCATTAGAGTAATCATTATTTATGACTTAGGCTGGTTATGAATGTTTTTGTTATTTGTCTGGATTCAAAAAAGAAAAAAAAAAACACCAATATGTATATTAAATCTGCATTGAACTGTACGAGCTGTCGTGATCCAGTGTTGAAGTCTGTATATTAGACTTTTGTATTCACTTGTTAGATTCTTTTCTCTTCAGTGCACCGTGTAACCTGGATGTTGTTGTGCAGGTAAAGTGCCTGGAGACGACTGCCCGCTGGTCTGGGGTCAGTGCTCCCACTGCTTCCACATGCACTGCATCCTGAAGTGGCTGAACTCGCAGCAGGTGCAGCAGCAGTGTCCAATGTGCCGCCAGGAGTGGAAGTTCAAAGAGTGACCCCGTGGAGGCTCTGAGCTTTGTTCATATCAGCTGTAAATAATATGTTTTGTACTTCTACACACTTTGAATATGTTGTACTCTGTTGATTACATGTGGTTAATAAAAACAGAAGACATCCGGTGCTCTGTTCTTGTTTTCCACCGTGTGAATCAGTGTTTGGCTGTGAAGCGTCTGACCTGGATGTCAGTGTGCTGCTGACTGACTCGGACTCTAATGAGCTCAACCAGATCACTTTGTGTTTCCAGTAAGACTCTGAGGAGGGGATTAGTCGGGAGCTGGAGACTTATGATTTTCCATTGAAACAGGGTTTTCATTTTGGCATCTACTTACACTCGGACTAAGGTTTTGTCACATACGACGCTACACCATACAATACAATGACATTTTTGACGACATTTTTTAATGGCATACTATGATGTTTTTTGTTTTTTTAAAGATTAGTTTTTGGGCTTGTTTTGCCTTTATTTGATAGGACAGTGGAGACACAAGTGTGGGAAGAACATGTAGCAAATGAGCTGCAGGCTGGACTCAAACCACGGCCGCTGCATCATGGACGAT